TGTAATTCTAGAAACCCTAGGTCTGTTCATAATCATGGAATCAAGAATCTGACTGAATTCTAGGGACCTAATGGGCGAAAGGAACCCATTAGTGAAATCTCACATACCTGGTGATTAATTTTACGAAGAAATCCTTTGATTTCTGGGCTGGAACTGAAAAAAACTTGTTGCATTCTTGGAGTTAGGGTTGGTCGCCTCTTTCTCTTCTTACGCTTCTAATTTTCTAAGTTTTTGATTAATGATTTGACTTAGATATGTTCTAGTTATGTTTCTAGGCTTAAACTGACTAAAACCTCATGATTTAGGGTCTAAACGACGTATCTTAGGGGTCCAAAGAAATAGGAAAAGACCAAAAGACCCCTGACTTAACTGCTGTTAGAGTGACCGGCGGATTGGACCTACGGGCTGTAGTTCAATCTACGGTCCGTAGATTGGGGTCGTCGATCAACTCTGCCTGACATGGCTTCACTAAAACAAACATAACTTTTTACTTGAAAGTCGGATTTTAGCAAACTCGGTGGCATTGGAAAGATGATTCAATTATTTATCATATAATAGGTCATAGGACACACAATTCCTATTTTGCTAAGAGTTATGACCATATGAAGTTGACCCAATCAACAATTTCCTCTAACTGGCTGTTGACCCCCACCTACGGTCCGTAGGTCGAACGACGGTCTGTGATGGTAGGCCATAGTTCATATCAGAGGCTGGGTAAAGGAGTCTTGATCCACAGACATACACCATGGACCGTGGTCTGACCTACGGACCGTGGGTCTGTCCGTGGGTCGAGACTTAGCCGATTTTCTGAGGTGGGTTTGGGGAGGGGTTGCAGTGGTGAACCACGGACCATCAGCACGGGCCGTGGTCTGACCTACGGTCCGTGGATGGAAACCGTGGGTTGCGCCTGCAATTTCTCAAAATATGCATTTTTGGTCTTTTTCGGATACAGGGTGTTACAGAATAGCTCTAGCCTTTGCCTCTATGTTTGTAGCAAAATCAATTCGTTTTGCTTGTGCATGAATTAGATCTCCACTATTATCTCTGAAGCGGAAACCATATGCATCTTATCCTAGATTTTCTTTACTTACACCATCAGTGTTAAATTTTAATTGTCCTAATCCTGTTACGTAACTTCCATTGCACAATGTGGTGATAAATTCTAGGTTTATGAGTACCTAACATTTTCACATTTTTTGCCATGACTTTCCTACTACGTTGATGTTAGAGCTTTTCATTCTCACCATTATCAGAGAGTTCTTCTCCACTTGATGTACTATCCCTTCAAAGCTGATATGTTCTCCGTGTTTGATTTGATTCCTTCTTTTCCACAAGCTCCACATAATCAACGTTGGTATAGCTCTCATCATTGATTATAGTTTTTTAGGAACTTCAACATACCACCAACATTTAACTGTTTGCATCAGATTTTTGCCTTCCATATCCATCCTTGCACATGAAGCAAAGTACTTCCACAACTTTTCGGAGATCTGTTAAAAATAAATGGGACATTGTTTTCATTTGTTGGGTCACACAACAACAACATATAGAGACAATGTTAATTCACATTCTTCTCAAGTTGTCATCAGTGAATCTTTCCTTTCCAAGCCCTCTATAGGAAGAAATCAATTTTGAAAGACAAAGCTTTCAACCAAATTTTCTCAAACTTCTCCTCCTTATCCTTTTCTTTCTCATTGTAAATCTCAGGCTGATTTAACATAAAAGAACCCATTTGGGGTACACATCCACCAAGGTTTGTCTTGTTCCCCAAAACTTATCACCGGAGAAATGCTACTCACAATGTAATTAGTCATTTCCTCATAAATAACATGTATTAACTTATCTCTGTCCCACTAATAACCTACAATAAAACATTTTACTTCCATCTCCCCTTCACCACTTCTATCTTCCTCCGCATAATATAAAGCACCTTGCTTTGTCCAATTATCATACCAGAAGCTAGCATTTCCATACTTAATTTGCCACTAAATATTGTGTCCCGCCTCTTCTCTGGCTTTGATTATTTTCCTCCAAACATGAGAGACCCCATTTCTTGTGCCATAATGGAATGTCATTTCTTGCAATATTTATTCCACATAAATTCACTACATAATGAATATGTGAACGTTATGAATACCCACCATAGTTTAGCAAACAAAGCATTTGATACATCATGTAGTGATCTAAAGTAAAAGAATAAAATATAATTGACCTAATTAGGTTTGGTGTTGATGATTGGTAGTATCATCAAATAAAGCTTGATCTTATTAATATGACTTAGAACAACAAATTGTAGGCATGAGAACTTATTACTATATATTATAAAAGAGAGTTTATGCCCAAGTGGAGCAATTCTACTGGCTTAGATTTCTACTATATTTCTACTATATAATTAATTAATATTGCTCACAAGTTTTGTACATTTTCTAACTATATTAAAATTTAAATATTTTAAGTTGTTAATTATTATTATTATTACTATATATTATAAAAAAGAGTTTATGCCCAAGTGGAGCAATTCTACTGGCTTAGATTTCTACTATATTTCTACTATATAATTAATTAATATTGCTCACAAGTTTTGTACATTTTCTAACTATATTAAAATTTAAATATTTTAAGTTGTTAATTATTATTATTTATAATACTTTTTTGATAGTATTAAAATGATATGTTTTATTTTTTCTGTCCCAATATCTGTGAGTTCTACTATATTCTGTGAATTATATCATATAAAAAGTTATTCGCTTTCACAAATTTTTTATGTCCAATATTCATTTTTTATTATGTTTATAATGCCGAATTTTTTTGTGATAAAGTCATATACCAAAGTTTAATTTG